CAGGGACTAGAGGCGAGAGACTCGATCAATCCAATCCTGCGGAACTAGTTCGAGCATTAAGAGCGGGCCATCACCACCACCACCGCTGTTGATGTGTGGCCGGGGTAACATGTGCCAAAGCAGAGGGACCATCGGTAGATGTCATGAGCACTTGTGATGCAAAAGGGAGCGTCGTCGACACCATGCTGCGCCAAGCAAGCAGTTTCGTGAGCACCTCAACCCAGGTGCGCTCAACCGAAATCTGCATCCAACCATGGTCGGCGTCCAACCACTTGCACACAACAACGTCACCATCGACACAACAGCAAGTGACATGCAACCAAGTCAACTGGCAGGTATGCGGATGGGACCATTTCTGCCACGTCCCTTCATGGACGGACGGCATGTCTACACTGGCAGGCAGACCATGAAATTGCAAGACCTTGCTCAGTGCCCCTTGCCACTCATCACGACAGCAATACAGGTTGGCAAGCGACTCCAGCGACACAAGTTCCGACCCATGCACATAGCGCAAGCAGCAAATGAGCCATCGAGCTGACGTGATAGCACGGCCCTCGCGTGTTTGATGAACGTCCTGCAGCAGGGCCGCTCTGGTCAAATGACGGGGCTCGTATCGCAAAACATGTCCAAGATATCTCTACTTCCTGGCAACCCAAGCCCGGCCCCAATCAGAAGAGGGTGCTCTGACACGCAACAACTCGGAACAAGCTCGTCGGCGAAGTCGGTGAAGAGCCCTTTGCTGATGGGAGTTGGCCCAGTCTGGGACATACAATTTGAAGGCATGGGCCAGTATGCCAAGCTGATGTGCCTCACGTCTACTTTCTCGTGTGCTTCCTGAGATGTCGTCAAGATGAGTAACTTTCTGGTTCAATATGAACAAGCCTGCAAGCGTCAAGAATACAAAGCATTAAGTCAGTAGGATTCTTGTGGCATATGCGGATACGACGAGCATCGTTGATAATTAAAGGCTGCAGGAGGCACAGAAAACAATGGCACGAAGCAGGTGGCGGAATCCGATGAATCGTCTTGCAAAGAAAATCCTGCAGGGGCATCCCGTCCAGTAACAAATTGCAGGCCCAGCGTGTCGTTGACTCCCACGGTTGTGTCCACATCTGCTACGGTGTGGACTGGAGTGGCTGCGTTTGGAAAAAATCTGTCTTGCGCGTGCTTTGCAAGCGCTCGTGGTGACTTCGTGGGAGTCTGGCGCTGTGCAGGTTGGTGGCGGGCAGAGTACCACTGCTTCGGCCCGTTAATGACCCAGCAGGGCTGCGGGGCTTCGAAGCTGTTGTCTCCAAAGGAACCACGTTTTCCAAGCACTCGACTGTTTGTCATCCGTACGTTACTAACTTCGAGGCAGACGAATAAGCCCTAAAGTTCAAGACCCCCGACACACATCCTCGCTACATGGTGCCAGCCTGTCTTGGGATCCTTGTACTTGGAGATGTCGACTAGCAGCTCGCAGTTTCTCCTAAATCTTGGACTAGCAGTGACTAGCATTAAGACGGTCCGGGCTACCATCTCCAAGGAACCATGTCTGAAAATTAAGCCATATCAACCGTAGAGTCATTGCTTCGGACATGAAAAGGGAACCCCCTTGCGGACACAGCATCTGAGCTGAGAGCTGCAGTAGGACAACCTCCATGCCTGCCAGCTTCCCATATATGTCTTTCGGGAATCTGGCTGCGACCTGCCAGGCGGAAGCTTCAAGCTGCAGCAGAAATCAATTTCAGCTACCTGGAAGGGGTTGTTAGTGTCGATGCACAGCGCCCCAGGACCATACCTGAGCGCAGTATGCCGCAAGAAAGGTGCCTTTCGCTGCCAGGTGCCTCTGCGGGACTGCTCGCTCGACCAGTCCCGCGGCCCCATCCAGGTTTTGCCTAAGTGGAAACCCTGCAAACATGCGCACCATAGCAGTCGCACAGAACATCGTGACGACACGCAGACAAGACACCTCCCCCACCGAAGCCGCCAGTGGGGAGCTCTTGGTTCGAGATCCCGTCGTGGAGCGTCGAGCGGAAGGCATGCTTGTTGGCTTCCATGATGTCAATCTCCGGACAGCGAACGCCGCAAACGCTCATGGCATCGCAGTAGTAGTCCTTGCAATCCGTCTCCTTTTCCACGTATGCCATTGATGTTAGGTAAAAAGCCGCGTTGCAACCTTAGCTCGATTGGAGGCGGGCAGCAAACAACCTGCTAAGCACGAAGTGTTTGCCTCAGCCAATCTCCAGATTTCGCCAAGGGAACCACAACCAGCACTGGAAAGATCGATTGTAAACATCAGCTGCTTGCCCAACAGGTTCTGAGCCTGCAGTTCACTCGTCAGCCTATCTCCAGCTCACAGACATGCCCACGGGCATTGCGATGCGTTTTGGAACATGAGTGCTTGCCAGGTCTCAAAATATTCTTTGGGATTGTACTCCGCCGTAGAACCTGGAGTGCTGAACAGCTTGTGCTATCTTTGCCTGAAATTTTGCCTTAACACTTGATGTAGCTGGCCACGTCAAAGGCTCACACATGTGGTGCCAAAATAGGCCCGGCTCGTCAACGGCACTGAGATCGCGCTGCCAAGAGCCCTGACTGGTGTGGCCTCGTCGCCTGGAGAAACGAGGCTTGGGGAGCTCGTGTCTTAAAGCAGCGACACAAGCCTGGAACATTCCAGACAGCACTGACTACCTGGATGGGCGTGGCAGCTCCTTCCACCTAAGCCATCGCTGGGCATGGCGGCCTGCACTACTGAAGCCTCTCGAGTTTCGGGCAGGGATGCTGCCTGCACATTTTCCAACCTCAGGCAAGCTAACTCGCTGCCAGCTGAGCTGACTACCGGCAAGATTCTCATGTTGCGGGCGACATGGGCAAACGAGCTCCAGGCTAGCTCCTCGTTATCCTCGCTCAACATAGCCACTGAAGCGGCGGACGATGTGCTAAACAGGTTCAGACTTCCAGCATACCTCTCACAGGAACCGTTGTCACGCTGAGTGACTATTAGCATATCACCGTGCTGCTTATCCTACGCCTATCAGCTTGACTGAGAGCTGCGAGCCGGCCTGCAAAGGACCAGGAAGGCGGCCGCGATCACGATGCCCAACGTCCACTTTTTGACCTCGCAGGTGCATGGCCATGGATAGACACTGGAGGTCGTAAGACAGCTGAAAAGGATGCCTTCTGGGATGCAAATGTTGGTATGGGTTTCGGCCCATCTTCCAGGAGGTCTCGCGACTCCTCCAGCAATAAGCATCTCGGGCGCGTTTCCGGCGGGGACCGGCTGAGGGGCTGAAAATGACCACAAGAATTACTGCAAGGATTTGCAAAGTGGACGCGCTCTAACCGTGCTGGTTAGGTGGCGCAGCAGAGAGACAAAGAGAGAGAGAGAGAGCGGGTGCTTGTCCTCCAGTCTTTGGGTTTCCAACTCCATGTCGCGAGGGGCGCTTTTGCAGAAGCGAGCTCAGGCCAAAGCCACGAATCAGATTCTCTGAACTGGCACAAATCAGAACCATCACAACACCTGCATGCATAGCGCAATTCCACCGGTTACTGCTTCACTCTCAATCTTTTCCTCAGCCAACAAATAACGCATGCTGACTGGTCCAGAGTGCCGTCTCACGCCTATGGCGTATTGCGACTCGGACCTGTGAAATCTTCGTAAGTCGAGCAATGTTGGGTTAGGGTTTCCCTCAACCCAGTTTTGCGCGTGGATCGTTAACTCAAAGCGTCGTGCCTATGCAGCCCAGAAAGTTAAGATAGGGATCCCGATTTCGGATGCCCTCCCAAAATTGTACTATGCTACACTACTCGCACTACTAGCTGAGATCTTGATATTCCTGTACAGACATGCTGCCACGTGGTTCCCGGGCCAGCGACTCTTTGGGTGCTTCCTTCGGTGAAGGGAACGCCCAACGCGCCTGTTCTGCATCGTGTGCAGGATCAAGGATGCGAACACTCCGGTGGCTTCTCGATCTTGGACTCTTTGGGCCCGCCAAGGAGCTTACGCCATTCCCGGTCCCACTGGGTCGGACTGAGTTTTTGGAGCCATGCCTACTGCTGCTGTCCGGAGCAACCTTGAGCAAATTCGAAGAACCGGTGCTCAAAGTTGGCCGAAAAGTCATCGGACAGCCAGCCGTGTCCCCGACGAACTTTTCGACAGTCGTGATGTGATCGGAACTGCCAGTCTCTCTGATCTCTCTGGCCCGATTGGAGGTTTTGGAGCCCTGCCTACTTCCGCTGTTTGTGGCGCTGACCGGAAAAACGTTGGAGCTGCCATCTGTGTCAGCCCTAGCAATGCCTTTGGTGGAGTCTTTTGAGCCATTCCTGGTACTCTTCCGAGCACCAATGTTCACAACAGTGCCTGTGTGGCAACCATCAGGTCGGACGGAGCTCTTGGACCCATGCCTGCTAGTATTTCGAGCGCCGACTGTCACCACATTGCTCTCTCTAGCAATGTCGGCGCGTGCAGAGTCCTTGCCCGCAAGCCGGCAGCAGTAGCAGATAAGGCAACAGCAGGGGATCAGCACAACAAGTGAGGCTAGAAAGGCATCGACGATCAAAATAGACACCGAGTGCATGAAGGATGTCACGTTCCATTCCACGTCACAAGCCTCCTCGGTTGTAGAAGCCTTCTGTTTTGTGCTTCGACCCTCTGGGCATGGAGTGCACTTGGGGCACTCCTTCGCCTGCCCAGAAAGCTGATTACAAGCCATCTCCGCACGGCGGTACCGCCCGAGCGGACATTCATGACACGACTCCATGGGGAACATTAGCCAATACTGTTCCATGTATTCGCCGCCGTCCACATTGCACTCGATGCTTTGTGAACCTGGCAGCCACAGCAATGCAAGGACGCATCCTCGCAGCATAGTCAACACCGTGCTGGGTCCATCTCTACCCACAACTTGCCTGACAGATCGCACCTTGTGCATGCACAGCTGCGTAGATGGAAACAAGCTTGCCGCAGGCTTTGTTGCAAGTGACCCAGGGTTGTTCGGGACATCGGAAGCCTCCTAGTCACTCAGCCATCTCCGTTCATTGGACGCAAAGACTGAAGTGAGCTGTATACCGACACTACGCAGATGTCCGGCATGATCTTTGTTCATCAATCTGTGGGAACTTTTGGGGATAGTATCTGGGCCGTGTGTTGGCAGTACTGCACGTAAATGCAGGAAATGAGGAACATGGCACACCACAGCGTCTTGGACTAGGGCTAGGGCATGCACTGTGCGGGATTTGTGCATGCACATGCGCAGGTGCAGTCGCTGCATTGAATGCAGCCTTCAATCTGCATCTTGCAGGAGCTCAGAGCACCTGGTAATTGAACGCACTGCCCTGGTTCTTTGGCAGACTGCCGGCTTCGCCAGCATTCTGCAGTGAGACAACTTGGGTCACATGACCTTCACAACCGCAACCTCTTGGATTGCCGGATTGCCTACACTATGTACGAAAAGCCAACAGCTAACAATTTATTGCACATCTTCCGGCACTGGAATCTACACTCATGATTTGGAGCCCGTTGTCGCGGCGCACGAGGCATTGGCCGGGCAAGCAGACTGGCAAATCCGAGGTGGGCTCCACTGTTGAGAGCACTCCCTTGCTGAGCCGTTCTTCAAGGATCTCTTCCTCTGCAACCTGCTGATCCAAGGGCACATAGGCGACCGGAGAGCTCATGTGCCCCATTTGCCTCCGATGGATTTCAGCTAGCAGGCCGTCGAAACGAGTGCAGCCTGACTCGAAGCCGCCTACACGAGGTTGTCCTGTAGCATTCGTCCAGATCGGGGCCCGGAAGTGCGTGCCCAGACGTAGAATGGGGCAGTATGTCTCCGCCGCAAAGATACGGGAGCAAAGCCGGGCCCCTGTAGCTCCATCAGTGCGCATCTCGGCAGCGAGATTTGCTGGAGTCAGGTGGAAACTGCCAGGGACCAAACGACCATAGGTGACACTGTCCTTCCAGTTCCACATTACATCCCCGAGCCTGCCGGGAACTTCAGTGCCTGACTGCAGCGGAGGAGGAAGCTCAGTCTCGTAAGTATCAGGAACTATCCGGCTCACAGCAAAATCGAAGCGCATGCCAGCCACCTCCACCTGAGCTGTACTGTTGAAGGCGCTGATGTCCTCTGGTGTTCCAAAGCTCAAAGGCAAGCACAGCTCTACAGAGTTCTCGATCGTCTGAGAGCTCTGTACCTGCACGCAATCCCCGATAATCTGGCCAAACACTTCGCCCTGAGCATTTGCAACAATGTTCCTGCAGTCGAAGCTGGCCAGGTTGAAGGCATCACCACTTTGAGACCCATCGTCCGAGTTGTTCTCGAGGTACTCGCCAGTTAGAACCTCAGAGTTCGACTCAAACTTCATCCAAAGCACTTCAAAATCAAAAGGAAGGGAGGGATGCAGCTTGTTTCAAGCTCGCTGAAAGCTAAGGCAGGGACAAAAAGGGACGCGGGAGGCAGTTCCGAGGCGGCATCTGCGGCCTGAGCCGCGGCTTCCTGGGCTCGGAGCCGCTCCTGGCGCCGGGTCTCTTCCTTGGCTAAGGAACGGAATTCATAAAGCTACCGTCGTGAGCCAAAAAAATATCTTGCTTACTCTAGACTCTAGACTCTCTAGACCCTCTAGACCCCTTGTGGTAGCTTACACGAGGTTCCTGAGCAAGAACCCAGCTTCCGTGGCCGCCAGCTTTTCGGCCAGTGCGGCAGCCTCTTCTGCTTCTGCCTCTTCGTCGATGTCCAACCTGAGCATCTCGTTGATAATCCAGGCTGGATAGCCTCCGCGTATGCCGCCCGCATCGATGGTCTCCATGCTAGCAGGAGACAGGGTGGTGGTAGTGTCTTGGACAATCAAATAATCGAGCAGATAGTTCCGAACCAGTCCAGATCTACCGGGCAAAGCGATCTGCGACGCTGCAGCTCCAAGCATATACTCAAAGGGCACAAGGCTGATATCGTAGGTCACTGCTGGCCCACTTGCTTCACCGAATCGTGATGCACTATATTCATGCCAGGAAAGCTGCACATCTCCGACGGATCCAGAACTTATGAGACCGGACGTTGCTAGAATCTGTCCGAGCTGAAAGGTGCCGGAAGGTAGCTGCATGCTAGCCGGTGCGGCAAGCTTGTCCTCCAGAAGCTCTGCCCTTTGCACTGAAGCATCCATTACGTCGGCCCCATCTCCGCAAGCAGCTGCGAAAAGCTGCAGTGAGGTCATCAGGGGCTCCACCATGCTAACCGCCGCATTGAGGCGTTGTCTCCCAAGCCGCTCATCCAAAGCATTCTCGAATAACCGGCGCAGCAGGTCAATATCCACAACTTCCACCCAGCGATTGATGCTGCCCCAGCGGCGGCTGTACCAACCTCTTTGTGGCGAGAGCAAGTCACCCCGCTTCCACACTCCTGCCGTCCATCGGAATATCTCAACCCATTGTCCACCGCATTCGGAACACTCAGCCTCCTTTGCTTGTGCAAGGTCCGGGTCGGCTTCTGCATTGACTGCATTGTTGGTAAAAAGCTCACATCGGTCGCCCTGCTGCAGCAGGCAACAAGCTTTCCAACGAGCGCATCCTTGTGGGGTCACGGATCGCTCAATCCAGACCGCTTCAAAAGGTGGCGCTAACGGATTCAGCGCTTCGCATTCCGAGCGGTTCAGCTTTCCGGCATCACGTAGCCGAGCGCGCAGCAGATCTGTGTCGGTCGTCTCCGATGCGAGTCGGGCCTCTTGCAATGATGCGGCCCATGCAGCAGCATCTTCAAGCTCTGTGCCCGCTCCATCAGACGTCAGATTGGACAGATCCATCAAGCCATGGCGGCGTCGGACCTCCATGCCAAAGGCAGGGTCCAAGCGGAAGAAGCACAATCCATCTGGAAATGTGCCAGCTCCTCCAATCGAACAGCCCTGCTGCAAGAGGTTGTCGTCAAGCGGAGTAATCACACATGTCCCCGGACTGGCCAGGTTCAGGCCGATGTCTGTGTCGCTGCAATGCCCGGACATCTGACAGCGACCTTCTGTTTGGCAGGGCCGGACTCCCTGGTAGCACCCCATCAGTGTCGCTAGCGGATCTTGCTCGCAGCTTTGCTCGTCGAAGTTCTCACACCGCTTCACCGAGAAGCCGGGACCCATGCAGTAGATCGTCGGCCGATGCCGGAGAGCACAGACTCGCTGAAACCGCCTCACCCCCATTCTTTCGTCGAAGAGATCTCCCTGAACAACAATACCACCCAAGCTGGTGCAGCTCGAAGTGTCAGTTGACACACAAAGGCCGTTGTCTTGAGTGGCAAGTGCTGGAGATGCACAGAACGTGCATGATGCCGTGCAGCCATAAGTAAGACGGCAAGTTAGCTCATCCAGAATCATGTCGTCTACATCACAGCGAGACACGCGACAGCTTTCACGTTCGTGAAGGATTGCAGGGCGCCATTCTGTCCCCTGGCTGAACTTTGTGAGATCGTCCTCAGGACCTTTGCATGACAGGGTTGCCAACCAAGCCGTCCAGTTTTGAACTCGGTTGTCAAACTCGCCCCTAAGGACAAGCTGCACATTGTGTTTGGCAAGCAAGCCTCGCAGCACGGTACTGAAATCGCCTGCGGTGTTGAACCTCTGCGGGTTCACCACTAGATCAAGCGCAGACTCTGCATCACCATTCTCAAAGAGCGCGCTCCAGAAGCTTTGCGGCCATCCGAGAGCTTGAAGCGTGGGCCTCTCGAAAACGTCTGTTTCTGTCGTCCTTGTGGGAAGCAAAGGTGGGGGAAAGACCTCACGGTTTGCACCGCCGTACATCTCACGTGGATCTGGCATCCTATAATAGCATACGCCGAGACCACGATTACCAAAGAAGTCCACACGTATAGATGTACCCTCGCGGAAAAGCTGCCTTGTCAAGAGGGTCGGATCCATCTTTTGATTTCGATCTAGAACTGCGAGCTGCCGCGAGAAGTTGAAATGGCTGGCAAGGCGCCGCAAGGCTCTTGAATTCATCTTCTTTGATAGAAATTTGACAAAGGATGCATTTCCAGACGATGTCCTCTGGAGACGTCGCCCGGGCCCAATAGGGGCTAGAGACATTTCAAAGTCTTCTAAGTAAGGGAGCGTGCCCGTGTCGTAAGCTCGCTGAAGGCAAAGTCCAAAGATGCGCTCATCGTCGGCCATGTTTGACGCGGTTGCCGGATCATACATTGTCGCCTGCAGCTTGCGGCCGCAGATGTTGCTGTGTAGCTGACACAGGTGAATGCCGCGCTGAAACCACGGAGGAGGCTGCCACTGTGCTCGCCCAGGCCAGACCGCCATGCAAGTTGCTTCATCGTTCACCAAATTGTTGATGACCTCCGGGACCACAAGGCCCTGCCCACCACCGCAGATGCAACAGGCCGTGTGGGCATCCACGCCACTGGTGCCAAGCTTGAAAGGACCCCAAGTCAAGTCCCAGCCAGGGCCATACCCAGTCCGATTGCACCACTTGAAGGTTTCGTAAGTTGTGCAGCCATGCCCATCGGAATCGGCCCAGTCGAAGGGACTGTCGCTGCAGTCCACTCCACCACCACAGTCGCAACAAACATCAGTGGCAGCCAGGCCACTGGAGGAAAAGTCTGCAAATGTACGCGGGGGATTGTACACCCAATTGGTGCCATACAGGCCTTGCTGAGTGCAGAGACTATCTATCACGTAGCTTGGACAATTTCGGCCCACGCTGTCCACCCATCCATGCACCATGTCAGAACAGCCTGATACCTCAGTGGTCGTACAGTCAAAGCCGCCTTCAGCCTTGGCTTTCGCATTGCAGAAATCATTGCAGCAGGCCACGCAGTACTCGCAAATGTCGCGGACGCGGGCAGAACTACCCTGTGTGCAATTTGGAGCGACGATCCCGGCATAGCGCTTCATCGAGTTGCTCAGCGTGGCATCCAACGCTCCAGGCACAATTTCGGCCGGAAGGCGGCCGTAT